TTATGATGTATATATATATATATATATATATATATATATATATATATACACACACAAGTAAGAATAAAATAATGTGTACTTGCAGATATATTTAAAGTTAATAATGACTTAATTTAAAGTTATTGGTTGATGGGTTCACCGTACACCTATCTCTTCTCAAGTCACAAAAAATAAGACTGGATAAAGATGCATCGTATTCACGATGAATGGTGTCACACACTGAATAAACATAGCAAATATCTATTCATATTTTTTATGCGCTAAGTTTGTGAAAACTTTTTACATCAAAATGATGAACACGTTTGTGATTCTATTATTAAGTGTTCAGGGATCGTCAAGATCAGAAAGTCGCAATTAAACACAATAGTGTGAAAAATAATACAATAGACTAGGTTAAAAGTTTTGTGACTTTACGTCAGTTAAAACCTGCTGTGAAAGTTACAGCAGGATCTGAAAACCATTTCTTTCCGCAACAATTGCAAAAAGACATTTTCTATCCTTCCTGCTGACCACGACAGTGTGTACACATACTGTAATATATTTTTTCTATCTTTTCTTTTTTCACTTGTAGAAAGAAAATTTTTTTACAAGCAATAAGATAAAATAAAAACAGGTCAGTTGCGAGCAGATAAGATGTTTGCTATATTAACAAATAAAAATGTTTTAGTTTTTTTCTTTTTCTTTATAAATAGATATATACATATATAATATCGAAAATTTATCTACATATTTTCAATATTATTACAATAAAATACAATTCTATACATGTGTATGTATTTATCAAATATATTGTATTTATATATACTATATAATATGTATACTATATAATATACTATATAATATGTAATAAAAAATCTCTCTCTCTCTCTCTTTATCCTTGATGCATCAATGTATATTATCAAACAGAAACAGTAATAGGTCAGAAACCCTAATTTATGTTGGCGTGCGTACACAATGCGGAAAATATTCGTACGACATTCCGTTTCTGACATCATAATCCTTAAATAACGTCCGAATTTCGTAGTCGGTCCGCCCCTGCCTTTACGTACGTCGCCTTTGCTCCGTTCGGTGAAGCGGAGAGTTCCGCCAAGTCGATTTACCACGCGGACAGAGGCGTCGGCCCGACTTGGGTGGTCCCCGTCCTACGCAAACAGAGCGTACGTAGTGCCGAGCGTACGTCTCTCTCCTCGCCTGGCGACGCGATCAGGTATAATTCTCTCGGCATGGCGTGGCGTCCAGAAAATTTACTGACTTTCCGGATTTCAGGAGCTTTGACATAATAGCGGCAACGGTCTGCTTGCGACGGATTCAGTCTATTAAATTCGTAGACCACCACCATTTAGCCTGTTTGCAGCTTAGCCGATGTTCGTCTTTTGCGTATATATGGTTCGTTTAGCAGGCACCCGAATCGAACCGTACGACGCGTTTTGTGCCTTCTGTAGACTGTTCCCGTGAAGTCTCAATCCATTTTCCTACAGAATGTCTTTATTTGTGGAATAGGATCGTAGCTGCTCGTGAGAACTAATCGCATGTGTTCCTTACTGGTAAAAAAGATCGGGATCAATAGGAATAATAATAATTTGCTACATGTGTGATAAATTCTGTCGTCTGAAACAACGGTTTTCTTTTCTTTTTTTTCTTCTCAAATAAATTATTATTTTCCAGTGTCGTTTAATTGCATCGTAGATATTATTTTAATTATTATTTCAAATGTCAAGCGCGTGTTTTTTCTTTGAATCTTTCGAGCTGGATTTACTATTTTAATTTGAGATGAAACCGAGCGGATTCGTACTATGTGTTCCGACTATATTACTTTTCGTTATGATTCGTAGTGTGCCTCTGGACCACCGACGTCGTCGCAATTAGTAAGTCGGATATCTTCCTCTCAACTCTTTCTTTCCATTTCTCTCTCTCTCTCTCTCTCTCTCTCTCTCTCTTCCTGCTTCTTTCTCTCTTTCTTTCGCGCTTCATCTGTTTTTCCTACTTTTCATCTCAATAAAATATAAAAACTATTTTTGAATTTAAAGATAAAGTTAGTCAATTTAAATCGAAAGTATATTATATTAAAGTATATTATATTTAAAAGTATATTATATTTAAAGTGCAAAGAAAGAAAAAAACTTTTCGTATCTTTTTTTCACAAATTATATCATGTCTATTAAAAAGAATATTAAATAACAATATTAACTAATAATTTAAAAAAACATTATATTAATGTTTTTTATACACATGTAATACTGTTTATATGTAATACTGTTAAAATATTTAAAATAACAAGTGATTACAAAGAAACACTAAATTATAATTTCAGCTCATATAGTATTACACTAGCGATAAGATTAATTCGATTGTGTGAGCCAATGTGCTAGATATAGCTAAATATATAAACTCACAATCTTTGCTAGTTTAAACAAATTATGTGTTATGATTGTTTTTAACAACTTGTCGAGAAGAATTGATGTAAATAAAAATAACACATAAGTGTAAGAAATAACATAACACAAAGTTGAAACAAAGTATTTGATATTGATGTATTTGCTAAAGTTATATATAATTTAGACCGCAAAGGCATTAAAGCGCAGTCGCGGGTAAGCAGCATTGATGAAACTAACACTTAACACTTATGTACATACTTGTATTGCGATCGCGTAAGTAAGTATACATGTTCGATCAATGTATCGCGCCTGTGTTTATGCAATGCGACATGCATTTATGCATTCGTTGATAGGAACTACAGGCGGATGTTCCTCAAGCCGTGTACGCGCTGACTCAGCTGGCTATCTCGCTCCTGCACTCATTAAGCCAATACACCAGCGTCGGCGAAGATCAAAGCTTGTCTCCTACGGAGGATCGCTTAATACCGGGTGGCGAGTTAAGAATGTCGTAAAAATTATTAACGGTTTTTCAGCGCACACGTTCTCTTATCGCCCATCGACGGCGACTGCGGGATGCATTCGTCAAAAGGGACAGTACGCAAAGATTTCTACTTGTTTTTCTTTTTTTCTTTTCCTTTTTACTTGTTCTTGTCAAGCTAGTGGTATTTTTTATTTAAATTTTTATATTCAAATTTTTTATTTAAACAACTGCTAAACATTACTTACACAATAATACAATTTCTTTGTATTATATTTTTGCATACAATCAGTGAAAACTTTATACTAGCGAACAGTATTATTTTTTTGTATCTTTTACCAATTATCATTAAAAGAATGATGCAGTAGTTGTTCTTCATCTTTTGACATATATATTCTTAGTATATAAAGTATAAAACAATAAGTTTTTTATTCAGCATTATTTAAAATATTACCATGTAACAATCGTTATTGTTTCTTTCATAAGAACACATATGTATGTAGAAATTGGAGTTTTAAGTATAAATATCTCAAAAAAATGGTACAGACAAATGATATAAAATTTTATAACTGCAAACTTGTATGACAAGAAACATAATGTCCAAATTTGATGTTATTCGTAGCATTGGAGTTAATTTGAAGTTTTACTCACTGCTTCAAGATCGTGTGTGATGTTATTTCGAGCTGGGATTCCATCGACCGCATTTAGCATTGAATGTGAGGTATGAATACAAAACCAAACTGTTGCCGGAATGTATTAATTCCTTCATAAATGAGCAATCAGGTAAACAAGTGTGTATAAACCGAGTTCAAATTGGTCGCATAGTAATATACGTGGAATATATCTCAAGACCTGTTAATTATTTTTAAATATATTTTAAGTATATATATATATATATATATATATATATATATATATTATATTAATTATTTTTAAGTATACTTTAAATATATATATATTTTAGATAAAAAAAGAATCTAGAAAATCCAGATCTTGGTTGCAGAGATACTGCGCGTCGACCCGCATACGTATCGCAGCGTGAGAATCGTTGTGTGTGTGCACGTCTCTCTGTGTGGGTAATGTTTTTGCTCTAGGGAAAATGGGAATGCGTGTGTGGTCTAGAGTCGACTCCCCTCACGCTAGTCTCCCGGGTATCCTAGCAACGCAGAACGCCAAGGCGCCTCCGCCAATCGTCTCCAAGTTTCCGACACTTCGGTCCTTCTCGGCTCCGTTCGGCTTGACGTCACCTCAAAGTGCAGTAACGCAAAGATTTAGGGTGGATCTTAGGGTGGATATCGGCAATAAAATTGCTCGATTTCATCAAATATAACATACACATTAAATAAAGAAGTATATACTTGAAATACTTTTCACTTTATTGATTCGGGTGTATTGGTCGATGGATGTTAAAAATTACAATTTCTCATGTCATTTAATCATCATGTGCATATAATACAAATTCTCTTGATTCTAATCATCTTCTTATAAAAATAATAGTTAGTAAATAATCAAAGTATGTGATGGTTGAGAATAATATATCTTAGTACAATCTAACATTTTTAATAATTAAAAGTTGAAAATACTGTTACATTTTATTCTTTTTATCTCTCTCTCTCTTTCTCTCTTTGTGGGGAAACTCAAAAGATATCGAGTCTCGTTCCGTTGTCTGGATATAACGTGAATAATTTGATTCTATCGTATGTTCTCGGAACCGAGACAGAGAGAGAGAGAGAGAGAGAGTAGCGCAAGAATCATTTTGACAGGTACAGGGGCCCGTGGACGGCGCGCGCACTTAGGACCCGCGACTACGCTACGGGTCTGAATGTTTGCGTAGTCCCGAAGTTCGCCGCGTCGGGAGTAGGGAGAAGCCGTCAACTATGGCCGGCGCGGCAGGCAGGTCACGAAAGAAATGTGGCAGCACGTTTCGCTTAGTACCGACTTAGACTGCTCTAAGTGGCGGTCGTGTGCACGTCGGTGTCCGTCGTTGCACTTTTACGAACAAGTACGTATTATCGGAACGCAACAGAGACCTGGCGCGAAAGGTCCGGTTGCAGCTTACGAGCGCGTTCGAACAGCGACGACGACAACAATAACAACAACGACGACGACGATCAGTGGTGACAGTGACAACGCGCGGCGAGCCGGGCCCGCAGCGGGCCCAGCCGGATCCGCGAATTATATTCAACGCGATAGCACGTGATCAAACATACGTGCGACACACGCGAGAATAACACGAAATCTCGTCGTTCACTTTCAAACACGTTTGTTTGCGCCGCCCTGCGGAATTAGTAAGCGAGACGGCAGGCGCGCGAGAGGGAGAGGGAGGTATTTACGTATACACGGGGTAACCTAAAAGCCCGATCGGCGTACAACGCAATATATCGGTAGGACAAACGCGCATGCGCGTTGCGGCTTGCTGTTTTCGTGCGCGAATTTCGAGCGAGACGACGACGGCGACATATCACGTGGTTATTGTTACATGAAGCGCGGGACGGTGCTGGTGAAGAAGTGTTCTCAAAAGGTGTTACGATTTTTCGGGCAGTGTGTGCGACGATTTCGGTGGATTTCGAGTTTGCGCGCAACACGTTGACATTGGAGAAAGAGAAAAACAAACTCGGAAAAGAAGACCACCCAAAAGATCAACCCCGAAGAGCCCCAAAGAAAGATCAATATTAAAACGTTAACGTAATTATTTATTACTCCGACAATTTTATCGCGAAATTTATAGAGTAAATCACAAAAGAAAATTGATGAGAAATTAAAGATCAATCGGTGAAAGAGAGACTCAGAGAGAAAAAGAGAGAAGGAGTAAAAAAACGAGTTCGAAAAGTCGTAACCGCGCGTGCGGACGAATGTATGACAGATCATGGTTTCCGCGTCTGGCCCCATATCCACAGGGATCCTAGCGGGACGCCCTTCTGGATCGCAGGGTCCGCGGCAGAATGATGGCGAAGAGTACGAAAAGAACGCAAGGGTAGTAGCGGAAAACGCTAAGATACGACACGAATCGGACCTTTACGTCAGACCGAGCTGGACGGACGCCGCGATAGCGTTAGATCAACTCGAAAAAGTAAGATATTTTGTTCTGTTGATCGAATTTATGTTTTGAAGAAAAGCAAAAATAAAGACGTTAAGAAAAAGACTTAAAAGAAAATAAATATATATATATATATATATAATATGTATGTACAATGTTTCAATTGATATTAAAGTCATTGAAGAGAGTACGTATAAAGATCTCTAACTTGTTGCTAAACGCTTCCCAAACTCGGTACTTATTCAAATATGATTATTCCCTTTCATAGTGAAGAAGTTTAGGAGAAAAGGATCTCTGATTAGAGAAAAATCTTCACTGAACTTTCTTGTGTTTTAAAAGTCAAAGATGTATATATTTATTCACTACAAAAATTTAATTTTTCTCATTAATTAGTATAGCAATGAGAATATGAGCGATTTAGTAAGAATCTGTTCTTGTCGCGTCAACTAAATGCAGATAACTACGCGGGCACACACCGACTTTTTCGTACATATAAACACATTGGAATCTATGCAAATTGACCATTCGTGATAACGGCACTTTCTACCGAGCGTTATCTCCGATCTGCAATTAACGAAACGCACTTTGACGATCAAAAATATTAATGTTTTAGTTTTCGACTTATTTATCAATAATACAGTTTATCAAAAGTGATACTATCACGGATAGACAATGTCTTTTCTTATCTTTCGCTGATTTTCAAAGGATTTTGATGAAAGATTGGACTACGAGATCGCATAAAAATGTGCTTTCAAACATGTCAGAATGTTCGATCATATATAAAGAATCATCGCGCGCTTTTCTCTTTACCGATCAACTCAGACAAGTTCTACCAAGGATGCTCCGTTCACAGTGTTATTTTGGATACAAGTTCTAGTATTATGTAATTTTTTAAACCGCGATATAAAAACGCAAACACAATGATACTTCGATCCGCTGATTCCGCAACATTAATGAATATACATAGGTTTATATTTTTGCGAGGTAACAATTTATTACCATCTGTAATTAATTTATAATCGTGTTTGGATTGATTTTCGTCAATTCGCAAGAGTGCGTAATATCAAAGATACGTTACGTAAAATCCGCTATAATATTTTCAATTACATTAGATTTACGTGTACTAGTCGATGGTTCGAATAATGCTTACCTATAATAAGAGGCCGAAGCGAGTAGCAGACCTCGCGAACTTTTTGCTCGCGATAGTCGCGCTGGGTGGTCGCACAAGATGCGATTCTCCATATCGCGGATGTATGTAGCGGATTATCCCTGTTGAAATCGAGGAAACAGTTGCGATTCACCGCGTCAACGTTGAATATGTGTATTTTAATAAGTTGATACAAATAGAGTGACGTAAAGCCACAGATTTTTTAGAGACTTGTATTAGAACGAAGGCAATATCTATAGATACGAAAGAGATTTTCGAGATTTTCACGTTGCGGTTCGCGATGCAGAATCGCGCGTAAAACAGAAGTGGTGACAGTTGTCAGCGTGAGAAAAAGACTAAACTTTGAGGTCGATGCTCCACTTTTCTTCTCGACGAAGGCAGTTTGGTCGAAGATAAAGAGAGATGCCTCTTCTCTTCTACGAGCCTCGCGTTTATACCGAATGAGTCAGTGAGTCAGTGGCCCCGGCCTCCACAAGGCGATCTTGCGGGCGCGCGCGCGCGCGTGTGTGTATATGTGTTTGCGTGCGTGTGCAAAGTCGTATGCATACGGGTTCGTTCTATCTTCTTCTTTTTTCTCTTTATGCAAGGAGGGAGACTGACTCTCTCAGGAGAATTTATGTGCGGGATGATAATGGAACGTGATGAATTAGTGTTGGCGGTTCGCTGAGGGGTATCAAAGGAATATGCGAATGTGAACAAAAAAAACAAGTTTCTCTGAATATAATCCTATCGGTCAATATTTACGTCGTTATCGTGTATCTTAATATTTTCGGCGAGCCAGCTTAATATAGAGCAATTTATTCAATAAAGCATTTTGTTGAATTTTATGTGAATATTTCAACAATGGATTTTGCGAAAAGTAAAAGATTTGACATAAACTTCGAAAATTGAGCACGTATTATTAATCCATTGTTAAATTTAAATGACACTTTCAGTTGTAAACTGTTTCTTATTATTTCGCAAGCCTGCATAATTGTTATTGACGAGAAAATCACTTTTGTTTTTGTCTGTAAAAGATTATCTGACGCACAATTTCGCTTTTAATGGAACGATCCAATCGTGCGCGCGCGAGCGCGAGCTGATCGAAATTGATTTATTCTCATTGAGAATGCAACTTGATCACTGGATCAACCTTGGCCTTGCGCCGTCATGCATGTGCATGTGTACGTGCGTACGCGCAGCCCGAATGTTTATAGAATACGTGGATCCGTTATCATCATCGTGTCACACATACTCTTTAGTCGAACGCGCGCTCCGAGTTCATTTACTCCAATTTGTTTACATTCACCAAGAGCGATTCAGACACGGGTACTGGCCTCGAACTGCTGCATCTCGTATTCACGTATGTGCGTACATGTCGTAGCGGATGAATTATCAAGTCGTTAATATAAAATTTTGGAATAAAACATAACTTTTTTAGGAAAAGGCTAAATGTTTTTTAAGATTCTAAATTTTTACTAAATTGTATAAATGTTTAAATTATAATAATTTTAAAGCGTTCGCTAAGTTCACACATTCTTTTTTTCGACAGATATTATATAGAACAAGACAATAAATATATACATACATATATATATATTATATTTATGTAGTAAATAGTCACAATAATTTTGATATTTTCTTACAGTGTTTTATAAGCAACAATTTATATCTACTCTCATATGTAGTCTAAAACTTGATTATATTTCTTATGGAATTCATAATGGGCGTAATATAGTTTACATTGTTATAAATTTACGATTAATAAATTTTTATGAAAAATGTATAAAATAAAAAACTAAATTACGCAAACTTCTCGTGCAAAACTTAAAAGTAAATATTTATTTTCTCCGGATTTACCCAATGACTTCGTGATGACGTTGAAGAAATGCGATGTTTCCTAAGGAAATCTCTCGATTACAAAAGGGTTCTCTCCAAACACACGCATCTCACGTTACCACTACTGACTGATCCGGAACGATCGCTCATAAAGATCATGATCAAAGATAAACGCTGAATTCCAGCGGCACGGAATAGCGTATAGGTACACTATTCCATAATCTGTGTCTTAATTTCTGACAGCTGAAAACGGTCATAGTCGGAGCGCGCGGCTGACAATACTAAGTAATCACATACGCACATTCATGCACGCACGCACACACGTGTATATGAGTGAGATTAAAGGGCGCCGACACTCGTGTGAAGGACTTCCAACACTAATAATACCTACGAGAGAGACGCATGCGGCGTGCGCGCACCGCCATGAAGGCAACGACGATGGAAACTCGTCTACGTATAAGGTGTCCAAGAAATATCGTATATTTATCAGACATTAAAGTTATATCCGACTAATCGCTGAAAAACTATTTGACGTATAAAATTGGAAGGTTTTTTTTGTTTTTTATAAAACCTGATAACTGATAACTATTTTTATAAAATAAAATAAAACGATCTAATTTTCAAAAGAGAAAATGATATTGCTCGTCTGTGAAGATTATTCAATAATAAAAGAGCAGTTCTGGAATACTCTGTATATAGTCACGGAACTAGGACAAGCAAAGATTTTTTTCCCCTCTGAAATAATACGTCAGGAAGAGTTAGAGAAGCAACGAACAGCTTAATTTTATTTTTCCAAGAAGACTATCCTCCTTCGGCAATCTCGCAGCCGGAGAATGCGGTTTTGCATCTTTCTTCGTTCAGATAAAAGCACACTCGCGTGTGGTCTATATGAACAAAATTGTACTTTTTTTCTTTTCATCGAACCTCTTTTTTCTCGTAACGCGTGATCATTTTAAGATATCTAAAAGATTATTGTGTCGGACTCTAAACAAGTTGTCCGTTGTCAGTCTTTATTATTCGTAAAAATAAAAGTATACCGAAAATTCGAAAACCAGCAAGTTGCCAAGACTGATTTATGAGTTTATAAATTCTAATAAGTTGAGACAGTTTCCAATTACAACAAATAATTCATTATATAAATTATTTCTTTACATGTGGAAACTCATGCGCATCTTTTTTTACGAGCTTTTCCGTTGACTTGGCTTTTTTTGTCGAGCCGCACGAAGCTTTCACGTGTTCTTTAACATGGGAACATTTTTTGAAAACACCAATACGTTACGCTTTTCCTCAGCTTTCATCGACCACGTCGGCCCGTAAAAGACAAGCGACAAATGTGCCGGACATCGGTGCACTTGTAGATCAGCTGTCGGTTTGCCTTTTATCTTTGCCTTGCCGAAGGATGTACGCCCACACGACCGTAGCGTCGTTCGGGCGCCTTTCATCTACGTTTGCCGTCATCGTTCTGCCTACCTGGCTCCTGTGTTCTCTATGTACATACAAAAGTCTCGAATCCGGAAAGTTCAAATAAAGTTATCTCGACGCAGTCATTTCTGTGTTATAAAGTTATCTCTCCACATAAACTCAATCTCTTATTTTCTTCTAACACAATGTATTTTTCTATACAACTCTATAAACATTATTACTCTGTACATACTATATAAAAATATTCCTCTACAAAAAGAGAAATATTTTTATATCTCTATTCTACAAAAGAAATGAGACAAAAAGTAACGCAATGTAACATCATCTTACATACATCATTACATTAATGATAATGATATAAAATATAACAGTAAAATATATTAGACATTGTAACTAACATGTACACATTACACATTACTCATTCTCTCTCTCTCTCTCTCTCTCTCTCGCACTTGCTATCTTTGCTCTTCTTTCAGCGCGCTCGTAACGGTATAAAAAATATAAAGTTGCATATTTATCTATCAATCTGATCTAGCGATAACCACGTTTTTTCTTATTATTGAATTGAAATTGTTTGTAATTTAGACTTTATTTTGAAACATGTCCGTTCAAAGATCACATACAAAAAGAAAGCAGAAGTGCGTTTTGTTTTAAAGGTAGTTTTATTATCCAAATCGAGATTGACACTAAAAAGAAGTCGATCGGTTCAGCTGTTCTACTAATATAGAAATACCACTAATATGAAAATCTCACTTTTTGTCTCAACTCTCAATTTTACGTAATAGAGACACCAAGTGCCTTTTGAAATTGCTCGAGTCGAGATCTTTATATATTGAGATGTCAGAATAACCGCTATTTCATAAACCCTTCCAAATTAGATGTTAGCAATAGCTTGTCAAACTTTTGCAAGTTTTTGTCACTTTTGCTTTTCAAAACTTTTTTTTATTCCAAATTTTCTTGACAATTTGATCGAAAAGCATTACGCGAAATTGGAAAATACGGAAGCAGCAATCCTCGTAATTATTTACCGAAAAGATCATTATCGAGTTCGGCTTTTGAGTTTCCCTTTCGAATAGACATCACCGTGGAATTCCTCGGCCGATTATAGCGCCGGCCGGATCAAGTTTCTCGCTGACACTTTCGAGCCGTACCTACCGCAAGAACCTCTTCGTTTGTCCGTTAGAACAAACTGTATATACTGCAACATAACACGTAATGGTAATGTGTACCGCGTGAGTTACACGTGCATACTGAGTATTATGGAATTCACGCCGCGAAAAAGAAAATTATATGTACAAACCCGTGACATTTCACAAAAAGAGGTTTATTTCTTATATCTTAACAAATATTTATATACATGTATATAAATTTTTAACATATCTTTTCAATAATATAAAACACATAGAATGTTTTATTTTCCTATATGTTTTACTCGTTTTGTGCAATGATATAAGTATAAAACTCTCAAATTGCTTTCTTGGTTTACAATCTTTATTTGTGAATAGTTGCATGTTTAGAGTAATTTTACTTTACAAAATTTATATTTGTTTATAAATGTTGCTACATAAATGGAGATCAAATATTGTTGCGTATATTATTTTAAGAACATGTATCCAATAACATAATTGACGAACAATAAGGTCAAAGAATCGCCGGTGAGAAAGAGAGACACAAAGAGCGATCGCCTTGATGCGACGGATAAGGAGAGTGATAGGTGCGCGAGCGATCGGGCTCCTCGCTCTCGAGGAAGACACCACTCTCGCGCGGTAGAAACGAGTCGCGAGAGATGCGAAGCGACCGCAGCCGCGCTTAACGAATTTATGTTACTCGTACTTTTAATATTTTTTATGGCGCGACACAAGCTGCGCCAAGAGATAGCAGACAGCATAACAGGATCTTATGTCAACGACGGTGGTCTCCGCGCCGCGAGCTTGTAATATGTAGATACTGCCCACCACCGGGAGAAACCCCATAAAGCCCCGCGAAGAGAGATCACTTACGGGAAAAAGAGGGAACCATCTCTGTCCCCCTTTTTCTTTTCTCTCTCTTCTCGGCTCTCCCGTCTTTGTCGTTCCCTCTCTCGCGCACTGCCACGTGTGTGGACGCTATATAGACGTCTCGAGAGCGACTCGTGGCGTCTCTCCTCGACTTCCTTTTACTTCTTCTTCTTCTTCTTCTTCATCATCATCTTCGTCTTTGTCTTCTTCGTCCTTTCGGTTTCTTTCTCGAAACGGTCGGTGAAAATACCGGTGTTCGCTCACTTAATACACACAGGGTGTTCTCTAAAATTGCGATTTTCACTTTCACAATAAACTTTCAAATAAATATGAAATCAATTCTTTCTATCTTTTAAAAGTGCGGAAAGAAATTATTCCTATATAATATATATATTCCTTATATAAATATATATTTGTGGTTCTTTTACATTCTATTAAATATAACATTATTTGAGAAAACGTTTTTTTCTGTAATATTGATCTAATAGATCTGGTTGTCCAACTTATCAAAATAACAGTGAAATATAAGATAACTGGTAATTTTATTAAAAGAGAGATATATACAACGGTACTCGAAATTGCCGCTATAACAATATCGCTTTTTTTAGTGGAAAACAGTATACAGCAAAAGTAACGTGAAAAAACGCGCAACGTCGGCACATGAGTCCTGCTAAAACGCGTCTCTACGGCACACCATGTGGCGGACGCGGATTGTCCGCGCGTCTAGAATTACTCGGGCCCGTGCAGCTTCAAGGTCCGCGCCACTGAGAGTTAATTGGCCGGAAAACCTTGCTATCCGATACTTGACGCGGCTACCGCCCCGTGATACGTGGCCGTGCGTAATCCATACATTTTTCGGCCGCGTGCGCGAAAGCGCGTTACGGTTTTGAAGAATATAACTGTATCCCTCTACGAGGGGCAGGTATTATACACTTTTGTTTGAATACAATTAGTTTTAATCGTTCTTGATTTTATGAAAGATACATAATAAGTGGAACCAACTTAGACGACATTTATTTGTTGCGTTAGTGGTCTCGCAATTTATTTATTATAAATCGAAGATGTGTTTGTTTAGTTTAATCGCCATATACAAGAAAGTAATAAAGAAGTAATGAGCACGCTCTCTTCAATCATCTATACTCCTTTCTGAATTAGACATCCTTCTTTCTCTTTCCTTCTATCTCGAAGATAGGCATTGTTGCGGGTGGTCCACGGTACATATTGTCAGAGCGGCCACCACGTAGTGTGCAACGTTGCCGCTTGCAATGTTGCAAGCGCGGTTTTTCGTGTCTCTCTCTCTCTCTCTCTCTCTCTCTCTCTCTCTCTCTCTCTCTCTCTCTCTCTCTCTCTCTCTCTCTCTCTCACTCTCACTCTCTCACTCAGGCTTCAACTTCTCCTTGTATAAGAATACCTCTCTCTCCATACTTTTTCTTTCTTTTTTTACATATATATATATATACATGTAAGCAACCTTGCTCTAAAAGTCCGAATTGCTATTTCTGTCTCTGTCTTTTTTACTTTTCTATCATTTTGACATTTTCATTTGCCATCCTATAAACCTAATCTAACGCGACGAATTTAAAGGCGTCCGTTCTCTCCATTGTGAGAAATCGGGTGCATTCACCGATTTTTCCCGGAAACCGGCTGCACTCGTTCTTGTTCCACGTAACGCCGGCGCAGAATTATATTCTGGGATACAGGTCGCATCAAAATCAATGGCGCGACACAATTTTATTATGTAAAAAATAGATAAAGTATAATCTTTTTTTATTAAATATCAATGATGAAGATCTGTTTAAAGGAGTTTGTTTTGTTTTGATGATGTGTTCAAGTTGACGCAAAAATATGCGTATAACAACATAGATGTGTTCTCAAAATATGTACACGGATGATGTAACAAGATTTGGATCTTTTCAGGGGAAAGCGGAAGGCCAAAGGTCAGCTGTATGGATCAGAGCGCGACTGCAGGATCAGCTAAGTCAGCTGGGATACTTTTTGCAGAGGCATGCCGGAAAGGTGCTCTTCGTTTCCGTTCTCGCGCTGGGAACGTTCTGTGTCGCACTCAAGTCCGCGCAAGTCAATAGCAAGGTCGATCAGCTGTGGGTACAAGGTGAGCGATGCTTAAGTCTTTTCTTTTGAAACGTTACCTTCAAGCAACGATTGTCAGTCGTTATGTAAAATATCCCAAAAGTGCTTTTAAAGTATGTAGCGAGAGACAGAGAGAAATGAATGGGGAAGATCATTGAAAACATTTGATCAATTGCTCCTAAGTAGGACTTGACTCTCGTTGCTATTTCGTTTTAAGCGCGATAGAAATTTTCACTTCGTAACATGGAAAACGGAGAGAATAAATTGTTCGCGAGAGTAGAAAAATAAAGAAAGATACGCGACGTGGCAAAAAGAAGGAAACGACTCGAGCGGGATCTCTTTTACATGTTACATTAGTTGCATGCTAGATGGCTTCTCTACATTTACTCATGTGGTCCGAATTAATTCGAATATTTATTGATAACTTATATCGTTGTCTCAAACGAGAGCAGGTGTGAGGAAAATCGAAAGAAATACAAATAAGACAGAGTGGTGATTTATATTATTATTGAGAAAAATAACATAAAAATTGAATGTTTCCGTTTTATTATCACATATAATATTGCGCATATAAAAGCTTCAGTACTTCAACATTCCTATGTGAATTTTTGAATTAAATTTAATTCAAATTTTTATGTAATGTGTAATTTACACGTTTAAGAAAAGATATAAAATAAATTTATATTAGCACGGACATCCAGCGTAGACTCGTTTTGACTCTAATATTTAATTTAAAATTTTCACGAGCAAATTAAATTGTTTTAAATATCGAAATGTTCTGTTTATTTCTTTGAAATGAATTTCTTGGTAACAAACGTTGCTTCAATGAGAAAGGCAAACCGACGCGACGAAGCGAACATTCCGTTCGGGGCTAGGAGAGAAATGCCCGTCGATGTCACGGGTAACTGTATAGAGATTCTTTCGACGCGCTCGACTTGGCACGAAGAAATGCCGAGTCGTGTCCTGCTTTTCGATCGGAAGGAAGATACAGCGGACCTCCTAGATCGAGTCGTCCGCGTGAGCGATCCGTCGAGCGGACGTTTTGTGACACTTGACCCCGTCGAACTTCACACCAAAAACGTTTTTCTCTTACCGATACATAAAATGTCGAAAACATCACATGAGATATAGAAACTGTTATTGTTACTTACAGTTTTAATTTAATTAAACACAGTCTTATATATTTATTTATCTACGTGAAATTTTCCGGCAATTAGTTTCTCGAAAGCAAACATGGGGTTGTTCGATGTCGAGGAATATATTTTTTTCACCTTCCACGAGTGACGCGAGTGTTGACGATCAGTATGTGCTCGATTGGTTCTTATACGAAAGTTGCAACTCGATTGCCATCGGCAGTCACGGCGATAAACCCGCCATTGTTAAGGATTTATAACGATCGTTAAAAGAGGCGCGGAACGTTAAATTTGCGATCTGGCCAGAGGCTCATCTTTCGGTATTTTTTGCACCATTGTACGATTGTGTGACCCCAACGTTTACGGCTTTCAAAGAATTTATGTGTTATTAATACAAACTCATGCGTTGCTGTATACTTCTCTTACGCAATATTTACAAATTATATGTCGTATTTGACAGTTTAGCGTGATACAGTGTCAAATCTTAATTTGAAGAGCAGCCTGATACAGTATCAGGCTGCTCTTCAAACCCTGATGAAGTGAGCTGTAATGTTCACGAAACGTCGGTATAAAAATGACACTAACGCGGTTCAAACCCGAAAAAACATCTCTGTATGTTAATACTACACACCGCGAAAGCATCAAATATCAAATATATCTCACATTCGTAAAAACCAGATATGAAAAACAACCCAAAATAATAATATGCAAATTTAATGTTGAAAATGACAAAATTTTGGGAGTTTTAATCATCCGTCGCTGTTGAATCGCACGTTTATTTTCTTTGCAGTGCGCGATAGTAATCTTGCCTCGTTTGTGTGTACGAGACGGGGCGATCGTCGTCACCGGACGCGCGCTCACGCTTAATCAGCCCTTCTGAAAAGACTGCGCCCGCATACGCGCAAGTCACCTCACGGATATCCGGTACCGACAGAGAGAGAGAGAGAGAGAGAGAAGCGCATTTATACACGCGCACCTCGACGTTGCCATCTCATAGCACCAAGCTCTATCTTCGCAAGGAAGGTGCTATATTTCTTTACTGTTCTTTGAAACTTTTCGCGCCGCGTGTCATATAATTCTTCCTTCACGTTTCCATGTTGCACAAGTAGTACTTCAGTAAATAATTTGAACGACAGCCACAGTACTTGTTGAATCGCAATATACACCGAGTAGTAGTCGAATCGATCGAGTATAGGTACACTCGAATAGTTCTCGAAAAATTAAGTAATCCTTGGTATTCAAAGAATATCAACGATCACTTAACTTTTCGGGAACAAGACACTGTATTATGAAGTCAAGAATGTCATAATACAAAACTTTTATTCGGCATCTCCGAAGGAAGCAGAGAGATTTTCTCTTTAAAGCATAATTGTTATGTGTTGAATAATTAAACCATTTTTATTTCTTTCTTGCATCACCATCCGGTGATAATAAAATCCGTAATTATAACGATGTGATGAGATGGATACGATGTGCGTAGAAATATTTCAACACGCCGGTTACGGACGTACTCAAAAAACGGCTGTGTGACGCCTTAGGGAGTTGAGAAACGATTGGCGCATGCAACTGCGTCCGGTGAACAAGCGCGGAGTATCGGCTTTCAATCACCTGCATCTGTACCTGCATACGTACAACCGTCCGTTTTCTTTCGTTCCGAATTCAATTTGCGCTATTTTTGATGCAAGAAAAACGTAGCCGCAGCTCGCCGTTACCAATCCAAATGTAGCGTGGAAGCCGTTCTTTATGAGTAATGTGTCAACAAAAATCTAACAGATTCTGTTTTGTAAAACCACAATTAGTATTTTACATCTTCTTAAGTGAATTTTAAAATACACCGCAAATATTTTGAGACACAAAAAAATACAAAAATTGTTTACACTTAATATTGAGCTAAGCGTCTACTATACAGTCTCTGATTTGAGAAGAACCACGGTCGTTTTTACTGCACTCCGTGTATAGATCCAATTGCCGGAAGATTAAGCAGAAACGTGAATGGCACACGCGCCAATATCCGTTCTTTTCTTTTTCTCCAGTCGGACAACTGTGTGCGGCGAGAAGCGTTTAGCATTCACATGAAGATAGAAGAAACAGTGTGCGGTGAAAAAAGATGAGAATAGCTTATTTTCCTTCGCTTCGCGCGTAAGATAGTAGCATATAGTGCGCTTTAAAAAAACAAATTCGCGCTTTCTCCAAATTTATTTTTGAATTACTTACAAATGTACATGTAAATGTCATCTATATTAATGTTTATTAGAGGGTTTAAAAAAAAACCAGTGACAATAATTAAAAAAGTCAGTTTAACGATCTGTATTACATATATATATATACATCTCTCTGTCGTAATGATGCCGTTCATTACATAATTGAGATTTTGTTTTACAGAAACATCTCTTTTTTTTTATTTGTTTTCTTAATGTATAGATTTTTTATGGCACTACGGTGGGGTGCAGCCTATAAATTACAATTTCTTTGCATAACACATCTATTAAGATGTAATTTACATTTACTGCTACTAACTACAGGATGCAGAATCGAAATGAGAGAGCTAGGACGCACTCGTCAGCCGATCTCGTTCGAGCGGTTTAACATATGTGACTAATCTCATAACCGATGAAGAAATTACATGCGTGCAACTTTTGTCGCCATATTGAGCAAAATTATTGTTAAACCGTTGCGAAGTGTCAAATGTAGTATACATACTATATCAAAAATTCTTATCACTCTGTAGCTATTTTAGAAGAACAATCAATTTTGAATACAGAATCAGAAAAGAAACATTAAAAAAGAGATGTGTGATTAGAAAAAAATAAAATATGTTTTGTTTGTAGACAATTTTGCATAAGAGAAATTGTGTTGCATAATTAACACACATAGGTTTTTTTTCTTTTTTTTTCTTCATTTGTAACTATGTAACTATTATTGTTTCGAGTAATTTTGTATTAGCAGTAAACATTATATTTATGCATCACATCACAAGCTCAAGTCGCAATTGCAACCTCTGATGTAATCCGCCTGATATTAAATATTGCGAGAGAGCGAGTGACCGTTATCCGCGTTCGCATACACAACAATTGCACAGCAAGTAAACAGAAAATGAGATCCTCTGTTTATCCGTTCGTCCGTTCATCCGTCCATCCGTCTGTCCGCCCGTCGGCACAACAACAACAGATTCCTGGTAGGTCTTTGGACGACGGTCTTCTAACTCGCTTTCGCCATTCTCTTCTCGCTCTATCTCTCGTCTTCTCGTACTCTTTTTCTTCTTCCCGACTGCTCTTCTCTTCCGATCCTCTCCTCCTTCTTCTTTCTTCTTTCTCCCACGACTCTTTTCGTGCGCTGTCCACCTCTCTCTCTCTCTCTCTTTCTCTCTCTCTCTCTCTCTCTCTCTTTCTCTCTCTCTCTCTCTCTCTCTCTNTCTCTCTCTCTCTCTCTCTCTCTCTCTCTCTCTCTCTCTCTCTCTCTCTCTCTCTCTCTCTCTCTCTTTCTTGTCTACTGGAAGGCATGGAGGCCTAATGAAGATGTAAGCACTCGGTCGACTCTCATACACACTCGTGCTTTCGTTCTCCGTCTGTCCTTGTCGTACTAACGCGACAAGGCGGTTTCTTTAGTTCTCTACAGGTCGTTCCAAGTGTTGATGAGACTACTTTTCTAGTTAACAATTTCTTCAACGATTACATACGATGCTTTTGTGTCAAAAGAACTTTTTTAATTTGATAACCTTTCTTTTATTTACTTTATTCAAAGTTCTTGTTTGCGTGTGCATTGAGCTATTTAAAACTCGTAAAAAAGTAATCAGACAAGTTAAATGATTCTGACGCGATGATGGATTTATTTCTCGCTGAAAAACCATAGTTTTCCTCGATGGACATGTATGTGGATGAATGAATACTGTATACGCCCTGACGTCTGATTGATGCACTAGACAGCAAAGACAGGGGAGAAGGGGGAAGAAAGGGAAGGCCGCAGAATGGAAAAAGGACGCATCGGCGAGTATGCGCCCGGAAGAGGATGAGCCAACATAGGAACTCGATATAGAAACTTTCCTGTGATCTCTTTTACTATTCCTGAAACAGAATATTTGCGAGAGACAGCGCCGAGCGCGCGCATGAGTATAGCGAACAAAGTGAGCGAGTGCGGACAAACTACGAGCGGCGACGGCTGAAGAAAGGACTCGATTGGCAAGGGGGCAAACTCAGGAGGCTTACGACGCGAAGCTGCTCTCTCGCTCAGCTCGCTTCGACTTTCCTGAGAGAAGATCCGAGACTCGCGGTTCAGGCACGCAGGCCCACCGCTGGTTGGCTGGTTGAGTTGGCTTGGCGCACAGAGAGCCCACCGGGCCACCCACCGCGACCATTCACCGGAACCGAGTCCCATCCAATCCCAGTGGCTCTCATTCAGTCGTACGAAAAGACTCGTGGCTCTGATAGAGAGAAAAAGAGACAAACAGAAAGAGAGAGAGAGAGAGAGAGAGAAAGAGAGAACACAAATGAAAACCATGGGTAATTGAAATGAAATAAGTTTTTATATTAGTGGATTAAAGACAATTTTCTGTGAAATAATTAGTGGAAGTTGTTTAACATAAAAATAGCACTTTTCTATTACAAATCATAATTTTTTATGTTGCGTTTTACATTTATGAATACTCGGTTTGAATTTGACATTTTTTCTTTTCCGGTCGTATTCGAAAGAACGTCGATTGGATTTCGTTGTAGGAAACGAACGAGAAATTGAACGTCGTTGCGAAGAACCGCTCATTAATCTCACGGAAAGGAAAGCGGTGCGGGCACACGCTCTTCTCTCGCATGCAGGAATTTCTAAATATTTCCTCGAAGTTTCGAACCGCCATGCAACCAGCCGGGGCGTGTCGTAGGAACAAGGACCCTTAACGAGGTTGCGGCCACGTGGTTTTTACGTTTTTACACGCCATAAAGCTGTCTACGCACCAACTGCAGATAAATAGATTCGTCTTCGATGAGAACCGTTGATCTTGTATAAATAATTAAGATAATAACAGCGTGAAGGAGATTTTGACTGAAATGACACTTTATGTTGATATACCTACAAAAAGAAAACTTGAAAAAAATACAACTTGTATAAATGTTTAAACATATTACATAGAATGACTTAATAAAATATTAATTAGTTTTTGAATATAAAGAGAGAACTGAAAAAGAACCGGAAAATCTCTTAGTACAAGTGGAAGAAATCAGTATATATTTTCTTCTCTATCTTTTTTTAAAACTAGAACTCACTGTAGCGCTTACATGTTTTTCTTTTTTTCCCTTCAAAGAACCTTTAGAGCTTGTTTTAGAGCTTTGATCGGACATAAACCAATCGATTTACGATCGGTCATATCGATTGTTTCCAGTGGTCGAGTCGAAATCGTTATCCCGGTCTAATAGAATTCTTTCCCCTCTGCTATTGAAAGACACGATTGTTAGGAGCTCCATGATATTAACGTCAATGATTGATCTTGGAGAACTCTTTGGTTTAATTACGTGGAGAACTTTCTTCTTAGACAAGCGGAAACTATCGGAATTCCCATTGCGTCGTAAAGAACTCGAAACTAAGACGTTCCGTAAAAAATCGAACGTTGTTGCGTGAAAACATTAGTGCAATCTCTTTCTTCCTTTTCTACGACAAACTCGTCGTCCAGGATGCGGGAAGTTCGCGGAAACAATAGAAGAGGAATTGTGAATGAGATGCATCGACAGAGCTGAAAGATGACGCAGCCATTCAAGAGTGCCCCGGAGCGTGCGAGTGGGACCAATGCGGAGGAATGAATGCGGCAGGCTTCGTCGCAATCACAGTAGCCGGAAGGATGCAGATAGATCGGGAGTACAGCTCGCCCCCGTGAACAAGACAGGGATGGAGAAATAATTACAGAGACGCCTCGTCGATAAATCAAACCCGGTGCCCTCTCTTTCTCCCTCCATAAGTGTACTCTGGCCCTCTGGCTGCTAGTCCCTTTCCCCTCTAAGCGTCTCTCTGTCGGCGATGCCTTTTTCACTATCTCTCCTTCCTTTTCGTCTCTTTATCTCTCTTGCTTCTTACTTTTTCCTTCTTCTCTCCCTTCTTCTCTCTCTCTCTCTCTCTCTCTCTCTCTCTCTCTCTCTCTCTCTCTTTCCTTTGCTTTCCACCGTTAAGCCACGTTTCTTGCTTCGTAGAGCAGAGAGTAGTGTCTTTATTACGCTCGATGCCCGATCGCATTCTACAGGCCAACTCACAAACACACGTACGGCTTTTACGGTTATGTCACAACAACAGTTTTTTGGCATGCCAAAATAATCAAAATATCTGAGATATTACAGTGAAAAAATAGACTTTAAATTTCAAAATAAATGAAATTTATTTAAAAATTTCTATTATTTACATTACAATTTTTTATGTTATAACTTGTAACACACATATAGTTTTATAGTTGAAAATATCTTGCGATGTAACTATAGGTGGGATATTTTTTGCAGGACGGGACAAATTCGTTTCTCACCCCGATAACATATTTTAGGATTCGTCGATAGCTTCTGCAAGACTGTTTGAGAACCACTTTCGCGCGGCGAGCAATACGGGTGGTCCATAGCGACCGCGTCGTGGCGGAACGAGCAAATACGCCGTCGGCATTTTTGACGGTGAAATCTGACTAGGTGGGATACCAGAGAGTATCCCGCGCATTCGCTCGCGCGCGCACAACAGCCATCATCCTCGTGTGTTTCTCTCGTCCATTACTACTGCTTATAAGATATACACGCTCATTTGAAATCGCGGCGCGTAGCGTCGCCGTCCGTCTCTGTGTAACGACGACGGCTTCTCGTCTCGTTTTTGCAAATAGCTTATTAAAAGCGAAGTGGATCCGCGATAGAACATCCTCTGTAAGCACGCGCTTTCGAAAAGAAAGTAGTTCTACCGCGCGATGTTTGTCTTTTTTTGTTTTTTATTTCTTAAAAAATCATTTGGGTTTCTATAGCAAAGCGATGTGAGACACTGCATGCCGCTCTGTTAAAACTCGACGAAGGGCACTTCGATGTTTCCTCGAAACTGAAGATGCAGCAAGTTTCTTGCGCTGTTTTTTTCTCTCTCGAAGAGAAGCTTCTCCTGGATTCGAATATTACTTATTTTTATTATTTACATTGTTTATATGGGTAAAAGAGAACTTTGAAGAATATTACAACCGTTAAAAGTAGCAAGGATATTTATGAGATTCGAATCGCGAGTCGTCTTTCGCGCTTGCTACATTTCGGAACCGCTATTTTCACATCCGTTTCTGGGAATGCTTTACTGGTAGACTGCCAGGAATTTTTGTCGGTATCAGGACGCGCAGAAATGTATGTGTTACGACACTGTCTTGGCCAATGTTTCTCTTCGGAGAACTCTGGTCGCAAATATCGTCCGTTGAATGGCTTGTAAGGTCGTCTAACTAAAGGGAGTGAAAACGAACTTCGCAACTAAACAAAATAATGAAAAACGTATTGAAATATAAATTCAAGATTTACTTGAAGCTACTGTTGCAGTTCCTTTAAAAATAATATTTATACATGTATAGTCAATTTTACAAAAATTAAAGCATTCTTTTTGCATAATTGCGTGATTTAGTTTTTCTTTTAATCTTCCAACGTTTGCTGGAGCTAATCGATATAAATTTCTACTTGCAGAAGGTGGAAGGTTACAAAAAGAACTGACTTACGCTTCGGAAACGCTCGGTGAGGCTACTGCATCGACACATCAGCTTGTCATTCAGACGCCAAGGCATTCTGGAGCGAATATCCTGCATCCTGCCGCGCTCAGAAAACATTTAGAAGTTTTGAAAGCTGCGACGGAGATCACGGTGCACCTGTTTGACATGTAAGTTACCTCCGCTCGCTTGTGCTTTCTCATTTGTATACGAAAAAGAAGCGTTCGGTGTATCATTTTAATTCTAAAAAAGCTTCATTAATTACGGAGAACGACTAACCATTCGACGTAATGACGGTATAATTAATCTCTCCGCGATGGAAAAGATTACAGTATTTATGCAAGGCGGTACGTTATTTGCTACGTTGACTAGGAAAAAGAACTACATTCACACGTAGAAAGAGAGAGAGAGAGAGAAATCTCGAAAAACATATATGTTTAATACAAAAATCTGCTTACTTTGTTGTCAGAATTGTTGAAGAATCGAGATTGCGGATTTAATGAAAAATCTTTTCTATTTTTCAGTATATTTGTGCTAAAAGTATACACTAATTTACTTGCTTACCGACTTTTGAAATAGTTTCAACAAGATGTAAATAGATTGTTTACGTATTAGTCTCTCGCTTGATCATTGCGACATTCTGTTTCTTGACTTTAAACGTTCAAACGATGTGAAATTTTGTTATTCATATATACATGTGTCATTTCCAGCACGTGGAGTCTGAAAGACTTGTGTTACGCGCCGAGCATTCCTAACTTCGACATGCACTACATCGATCAGGTAATTCAAACGAACATGTAGATCTGTGACGGGCGAGCGAGCGCATACGCGGTATGAATGGCGCACGCAAAAGTGTATTTTACGCTTATCTCGATGCCATTAGGTTCCTCGTAGCGAAGGCATCAATGCGCGCGCACGTGTCTATTAACAAATACCGAATAATCATTTATTAATAACAAAACACATTCGATACGGGAAATTTGTACGGAAAAGATTATTTTTGGACTCCGCCGTGCGCAAGAGTCATCTCATCCGTCGAAAAGACCCGTCTGCACGCCTCTTAAATTTCACATGCGCGACTAACGAGCGTGCGCGTTAGAGAATTGCGGTCGCACTTTGAGAAAAAAAATACGAGTCTCGAGGTGTCTTCATCACGAGCACCAATCTTGCTTCCGGGACATTTATAAACTTGTTTCACGCGAGGGATCTTTCTTTATTCGTGGTCGCCGTAACTTCTTCACACAACCAGGAATTTGACCCTTTTTTTTTCTTTATAAGAAGTTATGCGAAAACATTTTAAGTTATAAAAGAAAAATTTTATTATTATTTAATTTTGTGTAAAAGAGATGCTTATAAAATTCATATCTACGAAATGAAATAACGAAATCAATCCGGAAGACTTAAAAGAAAATAAATAAAACAAAGGCAAAATTTTTGAGACAACAGTAAACGAAATTATCTTATTCTCTTGATATATTTTATTTATCGGCGTACTAATAATCGTCACACCAAATATACCGAATACCGAATTACTCCAAGACCCATTTTTGTGTTTAAAGAAATTCGATTAGAGCGATCTGTGTATCACGATCGTTCATAATTCTTGCGAACCTTTATATTCAATGGCAGGATAAGATCTTCTTATATTACACATAGTATTATAGTTTCGAACGCTGTTCCGATGCTTTCTCCAATGTTTCTTGAATAACGTTGTACAGAAGTGTTTACGTGATAATCCGGAAGAAGATTTCAAATTGAAATCTTCTTCCGGAGATACATACACACGCATAGACATATGCAACACAGACGCGGACGTGCGTGCGCCATATCGATTATTGTATGTACTCTCTTCGAGAGCAAGATTACGCGAAGGATGAAAAAGCAAATAATAACATCAGCGTTTCGCCGCGCGTCAGGTGCAGATCAAGTAATCATAATGATGAAATACTAAATTAAAAATGAGATTAAATATCTATTAACGATTTACTTTCCTTGAGACAAGAAATGTAAAGAGAATTTTCTTTTTGTTTGCAGATCTTTGACAGTATTATACCTTGCGCCATTATCACACCCCTCGACTGTTTCTGGGAAGGTAGCAAACTCCTCGGTCCGGAATATCCCGTTCACATACCGTGAGTAATTTTAATTAACTTTTTCGTAGAAAATTATTGAGATATGATATACTTCATTTATAGTCTAGTGTCTATATAAAATGTATGTATATCTTAATTGCCATTGAATTACCTCTTTCGGAACTTTACTGTCTGGTTCTTTTTCCAAATATATATACACAACTGTGTGTTTGATAAGTTTTTAATTACGTCAACAAACTTATTTAATGTCTACACTCTTCTCTTATATAATATCATTTATTTATTAACATTAATTATGATAGTGTACAAAGTAGAAGTAAAGGATAGGATAAGAGAAGAAAAGCGATAAGAGTAGATTTGAGAGAGAGGTGCGATAGAAAGGCATGGGTGAACTTAGAAAACTTGTAAACCAAGTCCCCTTCTTGGCCGGGAGAAGGCTGATGTGAATAAATATTATATTAACATTAATTATTTTATATGGACAATTAAATTTATATTACGACAGACCGACATTTTCGTTGAGCACGTATATGTGCGTCTAGTGGTGCCGAAAGAGTTAATAATAAAAAAGCTTCTAATTTATTTGATTATTGCAATTTAATGTTGCAATCATATCAAATGCATATCTCAATTACACACGTGGCTAACGCCGAACGACGTCATTTAGATTTCTTTTTCGGTTAAGCAGCGGAACGAACAGCAAACCCGTTCTATGGACAAACCTTAATCCATCTAGAATGGTGGACGAGATGAAGAAGTTGCAGTTCACGTTTCCCTTTAAAACACTCGAAGATTACATGAAACGAGCCGGAATAACGAACGGCTATCAGAGTAAGCCCTGTCTGAATCCAACGGATCCAGAATGTCCGGAGACCGCGCCTAACAAAAAATCCCAACAGGTAAGATTCACCAACATGTATTCATTTTTAATGTTAGAATCATTGATGATCGATTGGAAGTTGTTTTTAAAGTACAAAATGCAACCTCGAACAAACGAGTATCGCTTTGAATAATAACAACAACAACAAAAACAATAATAATAGTAAAAATAATAAAAAGCAGAACTCTCTATAACAAGATAATATGAGGATCGTCACGGTGACATTTGTCTACGCGATTCATGCCAAGAATAATAAGTTATCATTTAAAATTCTCTTAGCGAACACGACAGTCGATTGTGTGCACGTACGTACATCGGTAGGCGCTTTGATGTTCAAGTCAGCGATCTACAGAATGACGTCGGTGATAAATATTTAACTGTGCGTCTTCGTGTGATCGAAATCGTTAAATTTTCTTCGCTATATCATTTACGATATACGTGCTTATAAAACAGTTTTTTCAGTTAAATAATTTTTAATTTTAATTTTCACGTCACAAATATATTTTTGTTTTTTAATATAAAAACTCGGAGTGTTTGGATGAAGGAATGAATTATATCAGATGACAAAAATATCATGGTCATTATTGACGCTGATGACAATAATCATTTTCAGTTTGTTCGCGATAGAAAGATAGAAGATCGAAACGACGCCGGATCGCGCGGTTGGGATTCAGTTTGAATGAAAGAACGATTCCTGTCGCGAAACGGTCGATGAGTATGCGAGTCGCGTGGGTTGCGGCGCGGCCCATTAAAATAATAAAATCAAGTGACGTGCGTCATTATTGCGCTACGCCGGTGGCCGACGGCATACTCGGGGCCTGGGCAAGCTGTTACGGTCCCACACACGCGCATCGCATTACGCGACCGTCATTTCGGTGTCATTAACATACGCACGGCCGGCGTGCTCTGACACGTGCACAACGTGAATCACATATTGCTAATAATATATATACGCGCGCGCGCGTTGTATATATGTGTATATTAACATCGGTGAACTCTAGAACCTCTCTCTCTCTCCTCTTTATTTCCTTTTTCCGGCCTTTTGTTTTCTTTTTCTTTTCTTCTTGCCATCTTTCTCTTTCTCTTTCTTACGCATATATCTATTTCTATTTTCATAACGGATATGCGCGGCTCTCGTACTTAAAGTAATTGCACTTAATGGCCACGGTGCAGCCGCGCAACATGCATGCGCTTCGGAATATTTCGAATGTAGCTGCAGGCGGGGCACGTTGATCGGGTGTTTAAGTCAAGAACCGGCATTGCGTATTCCGCGTATACGGGGTGTTCCGAAGAAGCCGCGCGTAACTGTTTTTTGTACAAAAAATGTTCTTCAAACTTACTGATTTGCAGCAATATGCAAGCCTGTATTGTAATATTTCTTAAAAAATTGAAGGCATTAAAAGAAATTTTCTCATTTACAAAAGTAAAATTAAAAATATTAACGTAAAAAAAGTTTACATTAAAAAGTAAGTAAGTTCTCTGTTTTTTGTTTGTTTGTTTTTTTCTTTTTTTAACTTAGTAATGGAAAAAAAAAAAACGTTTTTCAAACAGGTACCTGATGTAGGAGTCGAATTGACAGGTGGCTGCTACGGATTCGCGGCCAAATATATGCATTGGCCGGAGGAGTTAGTGGTTGGCGGTGCCAAGCACAATAAAACAGGTCACTTGACTCGCGCAGCTGCGTTACAAACTGTGGTGCAATTGATGGGAGAAAGGGAGCTGTACGATTTCCTAGCAAGTACCTATAAAGTTCATCACATCGATTGGTCACAAGAGAAAGCAGCTCAGGTGCTAGAGACATGGCAGAGAGCGTTCAGTAACAAGGTGAAGACGTTAATGGAAGTCAATGGATCGGCACCATATAATCTATACGCTTTCAGCACAACTACAATGAATGACATTCTCGGAAAGTACAGTGAGGTTTCCATTATGAAAATCGTTATTGGAGGAGTTGTTATGGTTAGAAAATACTTCATGTAAAAAATAATTAATGTTTATATATGTACGCTTGTTTTAATTAAAGATAATACATAATATTTTGATAAAAGTACATATCGACGCTAAATGCAATTTCACAATCACTTATTTAATTAGTGTTATCTTTCCAGGTACTTTATGCTGGAATAGCTCTCTTTCGGTGGAAGGATCCGGTTCGTTCTCAGTCCGGAGTTGGAATATTCGGTGTAATGTTGATTTGCGCTGCAGTAGCTGCCGGACTTGGTTTCTGCGCTCTTTTAGGAATTCCGTTTAATGCTACCACGACACAGATAGTGCCTTTTCTCGCGCTTGGTCTAGGCGTACACGATATGTTTTTGTTGACGCACACGTATGCTGAGTTGTCGGTGAACGAAGTGCCTAGCTGCGAGCAAACAGGCGTTGTTCTCAAACGAACCGGTCTGTCAGTGTTGCTGACGGGTCTCAGCAATGTTTTCGCCTTTTTCGCGGCGGCGATAATCCCAATTCCGGCTCTCAGAACATTTTGTCTTCAGGCTGGTATTCTACTGCTGTTCAATCTGGCCGCTATGTTGTTGGTATTTCCTGCAATGGTCAGCCTAGATTTGCGACGGCGGCGATCCGGCAGAAAGGATATTCTTTGCTGCTGCTTACCGGCAGCGTCCAATCTCAACAAGAATAATAGATATTCGGTGAAGAACAACGGCACAATCAAACAGATTGTCACCAGAGCTATACCACCCGAGAGACGAGAAACCTGCACGCAGATTCTGACGTCGCAAAACGCGCAGAACGAATCTTGGGTATGAAATATATACATATATGCATTATTGCATATGTTTTGAGATATTAGAGATTATAAATTCTCGTGTCTACAAATATTCTCTCGTTGCTGCAGATAGGTGGGAATGTTATCGATGCGGAATTGGAGAAGCAGTGCACCGAAGAAGACACTCTGACCGGCTGTTCGCAGGACGACTGTCTGAGCTTCTCTCTGACACAGCTCGCGGTTCGATATTACGCGCCTTTCATTAGTAGACCGGCTACTAAGGTCTTTGCCATGATAACTCTGGTGGGTGTACTAGCCGGCAGCTTGTGGCAAACAATACGCGTACGCGACGGTCTCGATCTGACCGATCTAGTGCCGCAAAACTCGAACGAATATGCGTTTTTAGCCGCTCAGGCGAAACATTTTGGATTCTACAATATGTACGCCGTAACCGGCCGAGATTTTGAATATCCGAATAATCAACGGTTATTGTACGAGTATCACGACGCCTTCATGCGAATCAAGAACGTTATCAAGAACGATAATGGCGGTCTGCCCGAATTTTGGCTCGGTTTGTTCCGCGACTGGCTAAGAGGCTTGCAAACAGCGTTTGACAAGGATTACAAAAACGGTTGCATTACGCAAGAGAGATGGTATAAGAACGCCAGTGACGAAGCAATTTTGGCATATAAGCTGCTTGTGCAAACTGGCCACGTGGATAATCCGATTGACAAGACGCTAATCACCCAGGTCCGATTGGTCGATTCCGAGGGCATCATCAATCCGCGGGCATTCTACAATTATCTAAGTGCCTGGGCATCTAACGACGCACTTGCTTATGGCGCTTCGCAGGCGAATCTGAGACCCGAGCCACGTCAATGGATTTACACTAATGATCACGAGCTTAAAATACCGAAAAGTATGCCGCTTACATACGCACAGATGCCATTCTACTTACACAAACTCACTGACACGCAAGAGATCACGGAGTTGATTGGTGGTGTTAGAAAGTTGTGCAAAAGATTTGAGGAACGCGGTCTGCCGAATTTCCCATCCGGAATACCATTCCTCTTCTGGGAACAGTATATGGATTTGAGAGTCTGTCTGGGCATGGCTCTGCTGGCCGCATTGAGTGCAAGTGTTGTCGTGGTCGGAGTATTGCTGTTAAATCTGTGGGCTGCTCTTCTGGTTGGTTGTTCTCTTGCTACCGTTGTTCTACAACTGCTAGGTATTATGGGCTTATGCGATATCAAACTAAGCGCTGTGCCTGCAGTACTTTTAGTGATCAGCGTGGGCATTGCTGTTCATTTTACGGTTCATATTTGTCTAGTAAGTAGTTAAAGATACTTTTATTAAATATTTTTTTAATTTAATTTCATTCATTTATCTGACTCTTGTTTTTTTATTATAACTTGTCTTAAACATATTGCCGCTAAACTGTCACGTAAATTCTTTCCAGAGTTTTATTACGAGTGTCGGCAGCAGAGATCGCAGAATGCGCTTAGCTTTAGAGCATATGTACGCTCCGGTCATCCATGGTGCGCTCACCACACTGCTCGCGGTAGTGATGCTTGCCTTCTCGGATTTTGACTTCATAGTCAAATATTTTTTCCTCGTGCTTCTTTGTGTAATCGGCATCGGCCTTGTGAACGGTATCTTTTTCTTCCCTATCTTGCTGTCTCTAATCGGCCCGTCGGCGGAAGTGATCCCGAATGATCATCCGAACCGCATATCCACACCGACGCCACCAGCGTCACCTATCGTGAGAAGATCTAAGCCGTCTACGTTGCCGAGAAGATCTCACAAAATCGACAATACTCGGCTGCACGCCGAGCCATCGCTCACAACCATCACCGAGGAGCCCAACTCGTGGCATAGCACACAAGAGTCCTGCATTATCGTTCAACCTGAACTCAAGGTGGAGACTACGTCTACATGCGGTAATCAGGTGCGTTTCGAGATTGTTGCGATAGTGAATAACGCGATTGATCGCAATCTTCGATGAAGCATGAAAGCGTATTTTGTTGATTAAATTGCATTTTTTCTTGTGTCTTTTCGAGCATGACTAACGAGCGTGTTCCATTTTTATTTTGACTAACAGAACTGTAGCGGATCGGACACGAGTGGGTCTAGTCAAACATCGCCGGTTCCGTCCACGTCTCACATCACTAAGGTCACCGCAACGGCAAACATAAAAGTCGAAGTTCACACACCACTAACCAGTAGTGAGTACTTATTGTAGAAGATTCCTGAAATGTTATTTTAAAATACTTCTAAAGATATATATATATATATATATTCGCGAGACTTATAAAAACTAACACTCAAAAAATGCTTTTTACTAACATTGCATTTTGACCGGACTCAGCTAGAAATATACTGGTTTTTAAATCACTTTAATAGTTTTTCTTTATTTTTCCTTTCTTTCATTTTTTGTCTCAATTGAAAAGAAAGAAGCATCTTTTTAATATTTCTAAATTTTTAAGTTTCATTTTAAAAGCAACGTTCCCTCTTATTGCTAAAATATATTGCTAACGTATTACTCGCACTGTATATGTTAATTTTTTTTGTAAAAATATGTATGTTATATCCCGAGTTTATATGTTCATTTATAAATGTAATATAAATACACTATATCCGCAATGTAGTACTTTATTAAAGGAATGCGAGCTGTGTGAATGAGAGTTGAAGAGATAACGAAAGGAGTTAGTGAGATGCGAGGTAAAGGTGTGTGAAGTCACGATTTATACTATATGTGATGAGATTTTTGATGAACTTATTGTAGGTGGAGTGGATCGTAGTGAAAAATGCCGGCACACGGGCATCGGTAGTCGAAGGAGCTCGCGCTGCAGTGCAAACGTTAATACTGGGGAATCTTCCGGCTCCAGTTCTGAGCCGGATTCAGACTCTAATGCAAAGCACTAATAACAAATACCGAGAAGATCGGCAGCTACTGCTCAAGTACCACACAAAGCGGGAAAATACAGAAGGCTGACTAGTATAGATTGATATATCTTCTATTTTTTCTTCTTACTGTTTCCTTCTTTGATTCCACTTGTTTTCTCTCCTTTTCTTTCTTTTTTTTCAAGCGAGTAACGCAACATTGTCTTACTCCGATCTTAGAAATGAGAATATTATATATTATAATACGCGCAACTGTGTCTTTAATATATATATATATATATTAAAGTATTTTTGCTATATATATATATATATATAGCAAAAATACGTTGAAAATTTCAACGTTTTCGAGCTAGTATCGTCCTGAACCCAAGTATTATATGCCTAAGAAGGAAACAAAACGTTACGTATCAATGTTATAAATTACAAAAATAAGCCACGTCTGACTTACGATTTAGACTACTGATATAAAAAAATATAAAAAAAATTAAAAAATTTAAAAAATAAAAAAAACGATCGGATATAACATATTTCAACAATATATTAAATGTGTGATAGTATTACCGTAGGACAATAATACGTACAACTGTAATAAATTAATTAAAGAAATTTATCATAGATACTTATGATACTAAGGAACTGCCTAAATAAATCTAAAGTTAAATAGATTTAGATCTAATAAATAAATTTATTTATTAGATAAATTGTTTATTAGAGAGAGATACCGGATACACATATCTGTAACGATGAATAGTAATATCTACAAAGTGTATTATTAAACAAAAAGTATTTACTAAGTTGTGCATACCTGTTTTTTTAGATATTTAAATAAAAAGCTAAAGATTTTTTACTGCCACTAGACAACGCGTGACATTAAATGTATAATTGCGAAATCTTTTTTAAGATACTGGTTTTTAGTAGGAACCAATGAAAACTCTTTAGATATTATTTATTTTTTACGCTATAATTATATATGTAAGATGCCGTATGTATGTGACTAAGAGCAATACTGTGAATCTCTGAGATCTATTTATTATTTATTTTAATAATATTTTCCTCGAGAGAAGTTTTTTCTTGTGTGAATGTATACGCGCAATATTTTGCACGATTTTGCGAATATATTAATTTGTAAACATAATTATTTATGTCGAGCTATATTCTTTTATGTATGCGACAAGAATGATACTTAATTTATCGTATCTATTTCTATTCTGATTCATACCTCTCATGTGTATAAAGTTGTAAAATACAGTGTTGGTGATGATCGATACCCATGTGCTATACACACAAAGATCATAAAATTATACGATTGTGTACTATATAAGAAAGAGATTTATATTTCTAATTTCAAATTAATTTTATGTCTCGTATACACATGTATGAAACAGAATTATTTTGTACATGAAAGTTATAAAAACTGTGTCTTGCACGAGATGGGCTTTCATATTTTGTATAATACATTTTCTGTATGGAAGGGAAAAATAGTCAATATACCTCTAACATACGTATATAAATCGCACTATGACTATTTCATTGTAAGAGTCTATTTAGATTTGATACAAATGTGTGAATGTGTGTAAAAGTGACTATTCTTTGTACGTATGATTTATAATCTCATTTTTTGTATATATTATATATATATATATATA